AAAAAAAAAAAATTAAATGTGACTGTTTTTGAAAGTTTTTTACTGTAGCAAACCTTAAATTTTAAACTCGAATCGATAAAATAAATAGGTCATATAATGGATTGTCTCTGATTGTTATATGCACAAGTAAATCCTCATTCATTCATTAGTTTTAGTGAGCCATTGGATATACGTGTCTTTCTCAATATACAAACAAGTAAAATTGTTTGCTGTTTTTGTTTATTAAATAAAGCAAACAAAATAAAATGAAAAACGAAAACAAAGAATTTAAAAATGTTATGGGGATTAATCTCAGTTTGATTTTCTTATTTGTGAACGATCAATTAATTTTCAGGTTCGTTCCTTCAAAGTTTGAAGAGATATTCAAGAAGCATGCTCTCACACATTCTAATGCCTTGACGTCAGAGGAAGTGTCGCTGCTATTAAAAAGTAACCGACAACCAAAGGACTACAAAGGATGGTGGGTTTCTCCTTTAGTTATGATTTTGACGTTATACCTAACTATCTCCTTCACCTTGTTCGCGTAAATATTTAGACTCTGTTTTCTTTTACAAAAATTCAAATTCTAACTTTTTCTACTATAATATTTTCTCTCACGTGAATTTACTTTTAACTCAAATTCTCAACTCGAACGAACAAAACGAATAAAACCTTAATACTCGTAATTAGTCAAAGATCAACTAAACATGGCATAAATCCGAATCATAAAGAAATTGTGGTGTAAATCCAAATACATATAAAAGTCGTGGCATACTACCTAATTTTCTGATATAAAATGTTGTTGTGATCTAATTATAAATTGCAGGCTAGCCGCCTGGACAGAATGGAAGATTCTATATATTCTTTGCAAGGAAAAGAATGGTTTGCTGCGCAAAGACACAGTTAGAGCTGTTTATGATGGAAGCTTGTTCGAGCGGATGGAGAAGGAACGTTTGTCAGCCAAAAAGATAGAGTAATTAATTCCAACTAGAAACCATATACAACACTACTGGAGTATTACTAAAAACAAGTCACATGATTTTATTTATCCTTTGGATTTATATATATTTGTTCTTTAGTTTACATATGCAAAAGTGAAGTGCATGTATAAAACAAAATATGGTTTTTATTATTTTTGCTGTATTTTTCCTTTTCTGTGCAGTTCTGTGTCTTTTGCGTAAAGCTGGAGAGTTGGTGGGATTTTCTGGGTGTCGTTTAGCCTAACGCAGTAGTGGTGTGCATGTACTTTGTAATGTGGAACTTCACGTGTTTGTGTTCTTGTTTATAATTTATGGAAGAGTTTGGTTTTAAAGAAAAAAATAATCTAGAATATTGGGTAACTAGTTTGAAATTTGTTACCTCTATTCTTTATCTCGATCATTGGACAAAAGAAAAATGGGTGGAGATGATGAGAAATTTGCCTATGAAACTTATATAACGTGTCATATTCTTGTACAAAGAATTTGTTGTTTTAGTACATTAATGTATGTTGGAAATAAGATCGGAATGGGATTGTTTAGAAAATAGCTTCTTCTTTTTGTGTGTGTGTGTGAGATGTAAAAGGCTGACATCCCATTTAAATCACATCCAACAGACAATATTTTAGGTACTCCCTTATTTGGTTAATCATATGATGAACAAGTAACGTGACATCCATTTAAATATATATATATATATATATTAAAAGAAAGTACATCATTTACAACGATTTTCAAAGTTTAACGAAGGATGATAATTAATAGATATCATGAACTAAAGCTTAAGAAGCAAAGTGAAATAGACGCCATAGTTAGAAATAATACCTGAAACTAATCCCACATAGCGTATTGTATTATTCAAATGAAACCAGAGTAGTGTTATATAGATGAGGTGATACTTTTCATCCAATATAAAAATTTGTCTAATTAGACCTTTGTATGGAAATAGAAATTTCTAATATTACCAAATAGCAATAGTCATATTAACTTTTAATCCTATCTCAACTTATTCAACACCAAGGGGAGTAAAAATGAGATCGTCATTTTCGCAAAGATAATGGTGATATGCACATTATAATAATAAATAATGGCTAACTTAAGATGATGGTCATTTAAGAAGAATAATTTCCCATGAATGTTAATTGAGGATCAACTGTATATCAAGGAGCATGGAAATGGATATACTATGGATTGGCAAAGGGCATTTTCTTGTACAGATGTCACGTCCCGAAAACGGGAGACGCGAAAGAGAGTTTAGGCGGCGATTTCAAATGAATTCGGATATAGTTTATGTTTGCTTTTAATTAGTCACATCTCCCGTTTTCGAGACGTGACAACTAATAGTTTTTTTTTTCTCCCGAAGCTCTAGCTTTATCTTTATTGAGATAACAACTGGACAACTACTAGACAAATAGAATTAATGTTCGATGTTAGTTTACCAATCCATTCCAAAAGCTTAAGCTATTAGGAGATGGGCCAACAATAGTTTTATACTTTAACACTCCCTCTCACGTGTGGGTTGGACAATGGGCAATCGTGTGGGTAAATTAATTAGAAAGCCCAACACGTGAATATTTAAGCCCGAGATATATTAAAGACCCAACACATGATGACAATTTTAAATGGGGATAAAGAGCGCAATTATGGGGGTTTGAACTCAAGACCTCCCGCTCTGATACCATGTTAGTTTACCAATTAACTTAAGCTTTTGGGATGGATTGGTAAACTAACATTCGAAACGAAACAATCAATCAACCAAACGAGTCTTAATCCTAATTCTAAATCTGTACTTGGAACTTGGAAGTCTTAACTCTCATTCTTAATTTATTTTATTTTATTTTATTTTTTTAGTTTTCTCTAGTTAGTAAATAAAACCCCGTAGTTACTAAAGAATATTAAAATCAATGATTGATTGAAATGTTACTTATCCTCATTTCTGGAGCGCGAGAAGAATTTCAAGGGGCCAACCCCCCTGGCCCTGCTATGATGGTGCTGCTACCACCACTTTGAAGAAATGCTCAGCCCATGTCAATACTTGATGCATCTCCCAAAGCTAAAACACGGTCCTAAGAAGGGGTTTTCGGGTCTTATACAGCAATTCTAGGCCCATATTATCTCATGGAAGGATTTACATGAAATGTATGTTTTTAATTCAACAATATTATCAATCTGTCCATGTCCATTTTATAGCTACTGATATAATATAATTTCAAATATGTCATTTTATATTTGGGTAGTTGTAAATTTGTATAATTGACTTTAAAAGGTAATTAACTAAGGATAAAAATATCATTACGGATTATTTTACAGATTTATATGCAAATATAACAACGTGTGGACATTTTTTTTCATCCATGGTAAAATAGACATATATATATATAATTAACTCTATCTAATGAAGGGTATTGGTAAAAATTATGAAAGAGCGCTCAATTGTAATGTGAAAATAATTCTAAAGAACGTCTAAATTTTCAATTTTGGCTGTTCATGGCCATTTTTTACCCCTTTGTGATTGCGTCTTGAATGCGATGGCCTAGTCTCAAAAGGTCACTGCGTGAAGTTGCTCGTTGCGATGATGGTAAAGCTCATCGGTCACGACGAGCTTCATCGTGAAGGTCCTCATTGGTAGCCAAAGGTGGATCGCCTATCGGGCTAGAGGGCGGTGGTGGAAGCTAGAAGGAGAATAGTTAGGGTTTTTTTAATTCAGTGTTAAGATTTTTAATTTCGTGCTTTTTCAATTTGGGGCTCAACATGGATCTTTTAGGGTGAGAATTGTTCTTTTTTGGGATTGATTTGGAGTTTTAGAATTTCGATTTGGGATTCTTTTTCATAATTTGCCTAATAAATACATTATTTACATTAGTTATTTAATTTGCACTTTGTAAATACATTATACTAATTTGTTTACTTAGTACATGTATTATATATTAACATTTACGAATTTATTTATATAGTAATACGTTGTTAATTTGTTAGGATTTATTAGTTTATTTACTTAGTACATATATCATTCCAATTGTCTCACTTGGTAAATACATTATTTACATAACATGTATGAATTTATTTACCTAAGATTACTTAATGAATACACTCTTTACAGCTAATAAAAAACATGATTGACCTAATACAATAATGTATCTAGTGATCAAATACATTGATTTCCTAGTAATACTAACATGAAATGTGAAAAATTTCAAGAAAAATCATTATTTTCAATTCTGTATAACTTTTGATATGAATCAAAAAAAAAAAAAAAAAAACATAAAATTTGAAGAGAATTATTAAATTGGTTAATAATTATGACACAAAAATAAGACTACAAAATTAACTACAATCATATATAAAAAATTATACTGAAAATTTATAAATTATAATTTTTCTTTTCATGTAATTTAAAACGAAAAGTACCCTTGAAAGGGACAAAATACCACCAGTTCTACACATTTTTCTTTTTCCCTTTCTACGTACATTTATAAGGACATGTAAACATCATAAATCCTATTTGATACAAAACCTCAATAAAAATTAATACAATTTCTTCAAAATAATTCACGGATCATTGCAAACAAAACAAAAAGTCAAGCACTATATTCAAATCGATCGTTAAGATTTGTACTATATATGAGTGAAGTATTAAGAAAACAGAAATTTTTGTAGAACTAGCTTTGCGTACAAATGTTACGTTGCAGATTAATTCATGGAATGTTTTTTTTTTTTCCTTGGTCATTTGATATTTTGTCTTCTTTGTACCTGTTTTTCGTTAATTTTTCATTATATGTTTATCTTTAACTCTTTGCAAATTTTATTTTGTTTTATTGCTTTATAACATATTTTCACTTCTATATAAAATGGACTGAATAAATTTTAGATTCAGTATTTTGATTAATTTTTAAAGTTTTAGTCTACAATTTGAGGGTATAATAAGCAGTCAATTGGACTTTGTTTTGCTAAGATAATTATAATTCGAGTTAATTGACTTGTAATTAGATTTCATGGAGGTGTGGATATAAATTTCATTAACAAAGGGCACAAATATATTTTTTAAGAAATTATAATATATATATATATAACATTTAAAAATTCAGGGCATGTCCTTAATCAATTCACCCCTATTAAAAACATGGTTGGTGAAATTTTGTAATGCCACTTAGGGTATAACATTTAAAAATTCAGGGCATGTCCTTAATCAATCCACCCCTATTAAAAACATGGTTGGTGAAATTTTGTAATGCCACTTAGGGATCCCCCAACAAAAAATGCATGGAGACGGGAACAAGTGGAAATCCGTTGTCCTCAAATTATCTTCTACTTTCTTTTCCATATTAAAAAAAAAAAAAAAAAAAAAAACGCTCAATTTATTTTCTCATTTTAGAAAACTCAATAAATTTCTATGATTAAATTTAAGTTAAGATAACAATTTTTGATTGGTGAGACAGAAAAAGAGATAACAGATTTTTACTACAAGTCGCAACGCAACGATCCTCAAAAATATTATTAAAAAGAAAAAAAGACATGAAGCATGGGAGCTACAACATTTCCCAAAATATATCCGTTTACGACCAGAAGCAAGGCACATGAGGTTGGCCAGCTCACAATGTCCAGACACCAAATTAGTCAGAAGATCACTACTTGAGTTCTTATACAAATCTGAAGAGCCAAGCTAGCGATATTCTTGGCTGGGAATCCTTATCTGCCGGGCAAAATGACAATCGTTTTGGTCGGAATCTTAAAGTAATTAAAAATCACATGAACGCACAACTACACACCACATACACATATTCCTTATATTATACATACAAATTATTGTCCTTTGGACATATTAAAAGAGCAAAAAAAAAAACGATGTTAGTGTCACTTTTTATTATTATTTTCTTATTTATTTTTGACATATGAATTTTATTAACATGATATATTATTATTTAAATATAAAATAAAATAATAGAATTCACATATTATACAATAAATTTAAAAAGTGATAATAGAGTGACAAAAATGTAACATTAAAACGTCAAGAAACAAATTATAGGCATTTACGTTGAAAACAAACAAAAAGTGTACACTCATAATTGAAGGTGAGCTTCCTTTCTCGCCTTTTTTTTTTTTTTTTTTTTTTTTGGCCCCAAATTTTTATTTATATACTTTTTTTCTTGGGAAAGAAACAATCATCGATTGCTCTTGATGAGCTAATTCACAACATGATATGATGGTACAACCACAACGAGAAGAGAAAAGGAAAGACACGAGAAAGCCTCCATGTTTGCGTGTTTTAAGGTGTTTAGTAGTCAATGATACGTTAAAGAAGTGGCATATTTTTATTTTTATTTTTATTTTTGGAGGAAACAA